TTTCATCCAAGACCCTCACTCTTCAAGAACTAAAGCCCAAATGCACTAATAGCAAGCTGTGAGGCAGGCATTGTTGGTGGTCATTAATAGGTCAATTTTAATTTCCTGATGAAGAAAATTAATTGCTTCTCGGGCTTTGCTTTAATCCAACTAAATATTCCTTCACTTACCACTTGAGTAAAATGGCAAATGCCCACCTTGGCTAAAAGTGACATAGTAAGAAGTCAAAGACAGCCTCCGCGCCAATTGATGCAACGAGCGCATTGCTATATACCATCTTCAGGATGGTGGCACTTCATGGCTACACCTAGTTATTATGCATGGGCTACATAGAAATGTAACTTCTGCGACAGCCTGCAAAGCCCTTGTTTGCAACTTCATTCTGTGCTCCAGGCACAAGTGTGCCAGTGGAAAGATGCTTCTTCTTAAGACAGCATTACAATGTCATGGGCAATTAAGGAGGAAATTCTCACATCCATATTGGGCATTGCCCATTTGATTTGAGGCCAGCGACCGCGTGCATTGTTGCCATTCAATAAAAAGTAAGTTGAAAGAAGTAAATTTAAAAGCTTCCATCCGGTCTATGTAGCCTATTTTATTTATAGGTGTGAAGAGTTAAACTAAATAATTGCAATATCCTATATGTCTAATCATGTCAGGTGAACATTAATATTTGAACATAATGACCAAATCATGCAAAACGCTTACGTCAGATTTAACCATTTTTCACAGAACGACGTGGATTTGTGCTAAGTGGTGTCTGCTTGAGTGATGCTCTGGAACAGTCCGAGCAAGCATAACACAGACAGTCCCAAAGATCACAACCCCCCCGGCATAGCCTGAGATTTAGAATATTTAAATTATTGAACGCAATGTGGATGGATGCTGCTTACAATAATCAATTTTATTTATAAAAGAGGAGTTTAGGCAGGTGGGGGGGTTGAGATGCCGTTCTGCAGTCAGGCTGTGCAGGAGCAGTGTCGGGGGCATGGAGCAGGAGAGATGAATGAACACTGCCTTTGGTATGAAAGCTTGCCAAGTGAGTGGAAGATCCTGAAGGAAAGAATTATTTGATGGAAAAGAACTTGTGATTTGGCCTAACTCTCATGCCTGCCTGAACTGACGCTAAAGCTTAATTTCAGGTAGGAAACACACCAGACTTGACCAGTTACAGTACCAGTCAAAAGTTTGGACACACCCACATTTTTCTTACAATACATGTTAAATAAAGAAATAAGCCGCCTTTATTTTGCAAAAAAAAGATCTAATCCTTAAATCCATCAAACTTACCACCATTATTTGTCATATTTGCAGCGCATTCTCACGTCTTTTTTTAACAAGGGCAGTCATATGACTATAATGAATTTGCAGTAGCACGGCTGTCCAACTTCCCAAAGATGTGCTGCACTTGAGGTGTGCTTTTCATCAATCTGTTCGCCCAATAAGTCCCAAAACCGCTTGACTTTAATTCAGCTGTTGGAAAACAGAATGAGTTTATTTGTCTGTTTAAGTTGCTAAATATGGCTTCTTTGAGAATTCCAATATTTTGGACACTATTCAAACACGTAAATTATTCTCTTTTCACTTCTGACTGTTTACCTTTTAAACGATTCCATTTGAGATTATATAGAGAAGTTAAGCCGTGTAAATTGCTCTAAAAACAGAGTGCTGTGACATTAGCAAAGTGTGTCCAAACTTTTGACTGGTACTGTATTTCAGTAATTTTGTGTGGCAACCAGCCTGTTGCATTTCCTTTGAGTTTGTACAAGTGTGTATGGCCGTCTACTCTGAAAGCAGTAGAATCAGCAAGAATGCTGTATGTAGACAGAGGAACATCTGGTCAAATGCAATTTGAGAGACTTGATGCAAAGGAAATGTGCTATGTGAGGTTTGAAACTCTGTGTGGCAACAAGCACGTCACATTGCCTTTCAATTCATGCAACTTACGTGACCTTCTCCTGTGGGTGCAGGGAGATCAGCAAATGTGCTGAATACAGGCAGAGGAACATATGGCAAGGTACTATTAGAGTGACTTGATACAAAGGAAATATGCTTTGTGAGAATGAGACCATGTGTGGAGACAAGCATTTCACATTTCCTCTCAATTCGTGCAAACATGCATGACCTTCTCCTCTGGGTGCAGTGAGATTAGGAGTCATGCTGAATGCAAATAAAGGATAATCAGGCAAGACACTGCTAAAGTGGCTTGATGCAAAGGGAACATGCTGTGAGATATGAGAATATATGTGGCGACAAGCATGTTGTATTTCCTTTAAATTCACCCAAGCATGCAGGACCTACCTATCGAACATAGGGAAATCAGCAGGTGTGCTGAATAGAAACAGAACGAAATTCAGAAAGAAACAGTTAAAATTTTTCGATACTTTGGGAATGCTAGATATGAGACTCTGAGTAGTGACAAGCATGTCCCATTTCCTTTGAATTCAAGCAAGCATGCTTGACCCTTTCTTAAATAAATTTAAGAGAGTGCAATTAGTTATCAAAATGGCACGTGGATGAGATGCTGATCTGTAGCAGAGGGCACAGAGCCGGAGAGATTAATGAATAAAAAGGCATGTTATAAAAGCATGCTAGTTGGGTGGGAGATGCTGAAGTCAAGAATGACTGGACAGAAAGGGGCTTGTCACTACGCCTGACTTCCTTGCCTGCCTGAACTAACACTATTGCTCCATATTTAAAGTGTGATTACATTAAAAATAACCTTGTCACACACTTAAAAACATATTTGATATGCAATTAATTTGATTTTACAGACACCATTCTTAAGAAGCCCTGACATTTTTAGATTTAACAGGTAAAATCAATCCTTTCTCGGCACATTGACCAGAAAGAACAAATCCAAGTGGACACTCTGCCACACACATGCTCTCACTGTACTGAGCCACATAGAAATACTTGATTCAAACTAATTTTTACATCCTGTTCCCTTGTGTCTGTGTTTCAGAGTTTCTGGCATTCTTGGTGGTAGGTTTCTGTACAAGTTGATTGTCTCGTATCCTTGTCTGCTCTGTGTGAATTCCGCATGCCCTTTCCCACACTTGTTTCTCGTCTCACCTTGTTATCTCAGTGTATTTAGGTTCCTTTGTCTCTGTGTGTTATTGCCAGATTGCTAGACAGGGTCTTGTGTTCTGATCTACTCTCTACCAGTTGTTCTTGTGTCCTCAATTCTCCCAGTTCTTGCTTTCGTCCTGTGTCTAGTTTGTGGTTGCCCTTGTCTTTTGTCTCTGCCTGCCCCTGCCTTATAATTCTTTCCCTCCGTGCGCCTGTTGCCCCTGGACTCGACTCTCGGCTTTGACCCCGGACTGGATTCCAGACTACACTCTGCCTGCCCCTCAGGATCCTGTCTGCTACTGCTCAACCACTGGCGGCCCTTCGAAGCTGTCTTGCCTGCCCTGCGTAGCCATGTCTGCTGAAGATAAATCTTCAAATAAAGCTCTGGTCTTCCAACTTTTGGGTCGAGCAATTGATTCCATCCCCCCCATCCCTGACATTATGGTCCTGAAAAAAAAGTCTGGTTAAAGCCAGCTTGTGATAAAAACTTTGGTCTGCATTTTGAATTTTAGTGGAGAGGTTGTGAATTGGCTAAGACAAAGCAGTGGATAAAATGCTCAACCCCCAGCCCCAAAGCTATTATCCTGCTCATATCATGGCTTTCAAACAAAATAAAAATTATCATGAAAATATTTGCCTCTACTTTGTTATACAGCAGAAAACTTTATTTGAGTTACTACATACCATTTCAACAAAGAATATAGCCTACAGTATGTGGCTAGTTGCTTGGCCTAAGTCATTCATGTTATCTATAATTATTATTAATATACTGGCGTGTGCTTGTGTGAGGGTAAAATCAATTGAATATTACTCTCAGACTCCTTCTGGGGCGGAAGAGTGGGTTTTTTAGAGGATGAGACTGATAGAGTCAGTGAGAATGCGAACACATGAGCGTGTGAGCGTGCTGTTGTGAGCATTAGCGTGTTGCAAGTGTGATGCGTCATACGGGAAAGCGGGGGCTAAGACAGCATCTGTGGGGGAAGTGGCGTGGCCCAAACACACTCTTCATGAACAAAAGCAGCTGAGGAAAAAACCCTGCAGTACTGCCAAGGCTGGAACTATCTAGTTCAGACCGGTAGCTGTTGGGGGAGGAGGGGGTGAAGGAAGAGGGGGTGGGGGTGTTGTCGAGTAAGAGAGAGAAGTCTTTATGACGGTAGTCTCGTCCCATTATTCTGATTCAGAGGAAAAATACTTGAGAATATCAGGCTCACAACCTCTCTTTTACAGCTGGTGATCTGGGCAGTTTTTGTTGTTGTTTTATATATTTTTTCTTTTACATTATTAGATGTATATTTATGCTTTACACTTATTTTCTCATACAATGTGTTAATTTATTGGAACTTGAAAGTTATGCTACAAGCATTTGATTTAATTTTGATCAATTGCTTCACTTGCTGAAGTGTTGGTCTTATCGCTAAAGAGGCTGCCATCGTGGTGAGGACCTAGGCAAACTTAAACTTTGACCTTTTTCAGAGTCTACTTAGTTCTAACGAGAGTGGACTCAACAAAAAGAATGAAGCAGGTTGTTGTACGTCTTATATAAATACTTACCATAGGTGTAATTGTAGTTTTCTAAATCAATATTGGGGGAGGGAATCCGCTCATGCTATGAGGTTAGTTTGCTGAGCTGGTTTTCCTTGAGTATAAATCACCATGAGCTGCTCGAATCAGATATTTCAATAAATTCACTGCCCGTCCCGACTCCACCTTGTTTCCATATTGACCTCTGCCAGGAGGTATTGTGATCATGAGTTTGTGTGTTTATGTGGGTGCTTGTCAGCAGGATTACTCAAAAACTATCCAACTGATTAACACAAAATTTTGAGGGCAGGTGGACTATATGAATGGGAAGAACTGAAACTTAATACCGACACTGTTCAAGACCTGGCCTTGGTCTTGAGATCAAACTTGTGAAGCACTCCCAACTCGACTTGGTGGCACAGTTGGTTGAGCGGTGGGACAGAGTCCCTGAATTGTGAGTTTGATCCTCATCCAGGTTCAGATATTCTGACTCAGTCTTGAACAGTGTCGGTATAAAGCGTCAATTTATCCCTGAAAATGACTCCAATTAATGAATTAAGGAAATTAAATTCCCAGACCAATTCACATACAGATCTGGATTCGGCAGCTGATTATAAGTGCTAGTGTATAAAAACGTGCTGGCTGAGGTATGCGCTCTCTGAGTGCCCTCTAGTTAATCCTGCTTTTCATTTCCTATCTTTCCCTATGTAACTGGGGGTCAGCTGTTTCTCACCTCTGTACCCTTAAAGCACAGTACATTTTTCTTGCTCCTGTATTATATGAATACCGTAGTTCATCTTTAAACTGAATTAGCCACATTAAAAGACATGATAACTAGTGTGTCCGCGATGAGATCATCAAATGGAATGTTTGTTGTGCTGGAGCGGGGCTGCTCTCTCCTGTCTTATTTTTATGTCACTATTATTTTTTTTTTTTTTTTTGTTTTTGCTCAATAGAATCAGCAGCCTGAAGAACTAAAGAAAAATATAAACCTCTAGAACAAGCATCGGCCATCACCTCAGGGGTATAAACAGTGTTTTAAAATTATTTTGGCTCTCAGAACAAATAAATAAAACTAACATTCGCAAAACTGCCCTTCTGCACTATAAGATTCATAAAAGGATCACGGCCTCACAGGTACTCTGCCTTACTTATGGTCAGTTACAGGCAGCCACTTCTCATTTAAGTACTTTGTCTGAAGGTCTTTTTAGATGAAACAAAAAATAAAAAAAACAAATAGAAAACACGATTTACACGTTGACGGCAAAATAGGAAAGTTTTCGGTTTGATGTGAATAGGCTCATTGAGATAAATAGGTTGAAATATTTTAATCGATGCATTTTCATTTTGTTTTGCTTTTTCATCTTTAGTGTGAAATGGCCTTAACATGGTAACCCTGAGATGTCTTCTGTGTGTGTGGGTGTGTGTGTCTGAGTGCGAGTGTTAATATCAATTTGTATTAGTGTTGGAGGGTGCTGGGGTGATTGGTCCACTTCTAGTCAGGGGCTTCAGATTGGATTTGCTTTAAGTTTGGATGGGAGCACCATAGTGTACCAAAGCAAAAAGAAGCACCACTCCAGGGCTCAAAGCTGTCAGAAAGACCAGTCAGTCAAAAAGAAAAGATGGGCTCAGTGATCCTCTCCTAGTTCCTGTTTTTACTTCATTTTATGGTTCTGATCTCACAAGCTACATTTTAGCACTAAGGACATCAAGCTTAACCGGAACCATTTTTAATTGCAACCGTTACGGGTGCGGTGTTCTTCCTTTCCCAGACGAGCCCACAGGAGAGGAAGAACACAGCACCCGCAACAGCAACATATAGGGCACTGATGAACGGGAATAAGCAAACATACCATTTCCTGGTTGTGTCAGTCTCTCACTAGAGCTGCTTGATTACAGACTCCCATTAGAAGAATGCAAAATTTTTCAGTTTCAGTTTGTTCCTGACTAGACGAAGGCAATTGTCACTGTTTTTTTACAGCATTTATTTTAAGGTCAGAAGAGAAAGGTGAAAAGACGAGTAATTCTAGCTATTTTTTCAATGCAAGAATACGGTAATAAATTGCGTAATATTTAAACATTGAGTAAGTTAATGAGAAACGCAATGACCACAATAAACCAAAACGACTGCAGGGAACTTTCCCCAAGAACTAGGAACCTTTGGAAGAACTCAGGGTCTGAGTTAAGTTCTGGGGAATTTTTTTGACTCCCCAAAAAGTCCCTGCTTGGGAGGTAGTACTTTGTGAAAGTACAGGAACCTTGCTTGCAGTGTTGAACATTTCTGATTGGTTGAGTGCTTGCAGCATTTTATTTCAACTGCCATAAAAAAAAAAATTTATAGTCACAAACCGGCTTGTTTTTGTTTTTTGTTTATTGTGCTTTGACACATGAACATGGAGCTTCAGAGGAAATCTGAAGACAGATGGACCGACAGTGAAGTCCAGGCCTCATTGAGCTATTATGATGAGGATGGCACAAAATTAACAAGTAAACAGCTGGCTCTTTTTCATATGTCAGCGGCCTAATTTGCCTAATCTTCACTGGTCTTTAGACTGCTGAAGAAATACAGACAGCAATGGCTGAAGGAACCTTTTAGTTTCTTGAAAAGTAGTCCCTGGGACCAAGAGTTCTAGGTACTGTTGGGTGGAACGCAGCTTGAGACGATATGACGTCAAAGGTGATCTGAGACCTGCATTTTGGGAATGGAGGTACAGTATACTGATGTGTGAGCTCACACAAGTGTGTGCTCTGCGTTCACTCACTGAAAACTCATGCTTGCGAATGAGTTCAACTCTGAATGATTACAGCGGAAATTGTATTGACAGTGGTCAGGCCTGTTTGAACTATAGCCATGGTTCATAATATTCTGCCTGTAATGTGAATTTGTCCAGACATACTCATGCACCTTAAGTGCAATCCAAACAACAACCAAATACAATTAACCTCATTAGTTCTTATATTCAAGTAATTTTATTGTACATTTAATGGAACTCAAAAGGTCTCACCTATGCCGAAGAGAAATATAATACTGAACATCCCTGAGAGCTTTCCTGTATAGAATTGTGCGCATTGCGAATAGGGAATCAGCATTTTTTCACTTGACAGGTTGGGCTCTCTCTGTACATCTGAGAATTGCCCTGCATACACGCAGCCTGCATTATGATATTATTCATCTACCATTCCAAAGGATAGTATTTGACTTGTCTCACAGGGGCTGTCAGATTATGCAACAAGATGGCACTAATGGTGGTTTTGCTCATTCCAGTATATACATACAAAAGATGTGGGCAAAATTGTAAATCAGACCAGCCTGCTTGGTACTAGTGCGTAAAACCGAACCAGAATTAAAAACCAGAGGAACCAGAATTGTCCTGATGAGTTGTAGTTACATCGCACTCCATAAGAGTTCTGTATTGCATTGAAAAGAGACAAACTGCCGTCATCTCGCCTTACAGAATGATGCAATATATTTTTCAAATTCATTCAATAATTTGCGGGGTTTTCCTTTATTCAAGCATAGTCTCCTTCTGGAACTTGCCAGATGCGTGGAAAAAAACCCACTGAAGTACCTTCTTGGGGTTACTTTGAAATCACATGTAAACTGGGCTGTTTTCACAGCCTGTAATTGAAACACCAGAGATGCACCACCCTCTCGGCTAGGTCAGTATTTCCTCTGTGAAACATGTCCTGCTTAGAAACATGCTTCCTAACCAACCACTTTGAGGGCAGAGGTTCTAGAATCTTCACGTCGGAGTATTTATCTCCCTCCGAGAGCCTCCCGTATCAGGGCACATTTATTTGAGGGCCAAGTAAAGTTTGTCATTGCTATACTATTCGGTTTGTTTGATTCCAGATGATTCCAAGGGTATTTTATTCATAGAGGAGTCAAAAGTCTGTAACTGGTGGCCAGTTAAATCATTTTACTTTGTAGTATAACCACTTCTATTTGAATGCTTTTAACTTTCCAACGATCTCAGGTCTTTTTTTTTTTCTTATAAAAGCACTCTTCCAACATTTTTTTTCCATCTTTCCATAGCAAGCTTTGTTTTATAGTTGTTGTTGCTTCCAGTCAATATTTGTCACTCACCATTTGGTCCTCATGTTCATAAGAAAAGTGAAATTAAAAGTTTTTGTTCAGTCAAAGATTACCTGAAATCACTGAAGGGGTAATGCTGTATTCATTGGGATCACAGAATATGGTGCACAGCAAAATAGCAATTTTTGATAGCATGGAAGTAAAAAAGCAGCACAGTAGAAACCATGAATAAATAGTACATTTTGGCGGTCTTGCTCCGTGATGGTTTTATAATACATTCCACTTTCAACATGGATTAGAGGATCTGATTATGCTTGGTATTGCTCAACATTGGGAAAAATAATTTGTCATTTTCCATGTCCATGCAGAACGTGCCATGCCAAAAATGGTTTTAAATTCTGTTTTTATGAATATAATGATAATTAGTAAAACAACAGGCATTTGAGGGGAAAGTTCCATCTGCATTGCCATAGGTAACATTTTTGCCATACTAATCAGATTGTACCAGCCCGTTCTTGTCCATTATAGTGTTGTCTGGTTTGCTGTTTATGGTCTGCTGGGATTCATTTGATTACAGCAGAATTAAGCATCGCCATTTTGCATTTCAGCACTGCATTAAATGACTGACATGACTCTCAGAGAAGTGTTTTTGGTACATTAGTGTTTAAAAAAAAATAGAAAACCCTCTCCAGGGTTTGAGCACATTAAGTACAAATAATTCAAAGTGGGGATTCAGGCAGACTTTGTTATTCCTTGTTTGTTTATGGATGGTGTGAAAATACAGTACTTCACTTTTACCTGCAGGGCAGATTGGGGGATTTCTGACCACTTGTGTTGACCATTATGGAGCTGGTCGCAAATTCTGGGAGGCTTTTACTGCTTCAGGAAAAGGTGATTGTTCGACATATTAAATTTTTAGAGCATTTTTTGAAACACTTTACAATAGTAAATGTGCACAAATTGGGCAGAGTTACAGAGTGCGCAGGTTTTTTCAAACAGCACCCCCAAGCACCACTTTTCAGCAATTCAGCCCAGTGTACAACAATCAGCAATGAGTCTTGCCAATTTCTGGCCTTTTGGATTTCCGACCTGGTGTTTAGCATAGTGAGTGACACAGACTGCAGCATAAGGTCACACCCATTACCCTACATCTTATTCACGGTTTCTTCTGTGCTGGTGTTCATCTCTGCCATCATGTACTGATTGGCCACAACATTAAAACTACCTGCCTAATATTGTGTTGATCTCCCTCGTGCCACCTAAATAGCTCCATCACAGTGATGTCCACTTGAATTCCCAGACCCAGGGTTTCCCAGCAGAACATTTCCCAGAGCGCTCCATCCACCAGATTGTCTTCTTCCCACAGTGTATCCTGGTACCATCTCTTTCCCAGGTAAATGGCGCACGAGTACCAAGCTGATGCACATAATGTGAAAGAAAATG